ATGCCCTGGTTCGAGGAGAGGAGTCTGTTTGTAGGAGACACACATATCCGCTGGTACGAACCAGGAGTGGGTGAACGCCGGGTTGATGTTGACTCCGATCCCTATCGGCGGCTGCCTCTGGAAGCCCGAGGAGACGGCGTAGTCCATGGCCACCGCCTGGTAGGGCAGCATGACGGCAGCAGTCGCAGTCACCCACAGCACACACAGCACACGAGGTCGGTCGCGAGGCCCGTGCTAAGCTATTGCCGTTACCACCAACAAGTGACTAATGACGGCAGTAACGAGTGACGGCGGATGGGCGTGAGCGGGCGGAGCGAGCGCCGCTGGTTGGCCGCGGCCACGCAGCGCAGCTATTCACCGCGAGGCCATTCGCCGCCCCCACGCCGTCGCCACGCTCGCGCCCGCCGAGTAGCAACAAGTAGCCAATACACCACCGCCGTCACCTAAAACCTCGGCTAATCTACGAGATGCAGTGGCGGTGCGCCGCTCTCTGTTTTATGTGGATCTCATTGTCTCGTCGCTTCGCCGCAAATTCGAACTGGGCTAAACGCCGCGACGCCCGCAAAAAATCATTACGAAAGCTGCATCCCGGACGCCGAATGCGCAACAACGGCTTAAACGGAAGCTGAATTACGCGCGCTATGTATATCGGACTATCCTTAAACTAACGCGATCTTGATAGCGTTTATACAATTAAGTACACATGTTTTAACCAGTCTTGAGTCGAATTGTGGTAAATTTAACGCTTATTACATTAATAATAATGATTAAAAAGTATAGTTCATTTTTTCTACAGGTGCCTTTATTATTTGAATCGATTCTCCCAAATTCGTTTTTTCCAAAAATTTGGTAATGTCACCAACATTTTTTAAAATTACTTATACTGGATGTGAAAAAATTAACGAATGAACCCATTTATGTTTTGAGTAAATCAAAAACGTTCTCTACCTACTTCATTTTCCCAAAATTTTGGGAATTCTGTGCTGCCACAATATTTTGTCCCCACCAAAAGGTTGATGACGTCATCACAAAATTTATTTACAAAAATATAACAATTTAAAATGAAATAAACCTATATTAATTCCGTTAAAAGTCCTACAAATCCCGCTTTTTTGAAAGATTGTAAAATTAGATTTTGGGATGCGACATTGCGATGCGACCACCGCAATTCCAAGGAGAGATCTAGGGGTGATTCTTAGGGACCTAATCCTGTTATTTATTTTGGACCATATTTTCCTTTTACGAATAGAAGTTGGTTAGAAAATTTAAGTTACATATTGTCATTACCTTAATATACATATGTAAAAAAAAAAAAGAATTTAGAAGGCTGATGTGTAAAAAAAACTTGACTTTTCGACATTTTACTCCTGTTCATGTTGAAATTTAAGTTTCCTTTTTTAGTTTCCACTGAGACATTATTTGCGCTCACACGTAGTATCATTTAATCTAAAACCTACTGAATTAGTTGTTGTCTTAATTTTGAACAATACCAAGATAATTATCTGAATACTGTAAGCACTGTTGATTCCGATAATTAATTATGAAAGTGGAACAGAAATGCAAAATAAGAATGACAGCTCTTTGTGTAGGTAACTGATTGGCTGCAAGTCATAAATTACTGGAATGGCCGGAAGTGATCAGTTTTGTACTTTGCACAATTTCGAGATCATTTTTGTAATAACCAAATTAAAAACAAATAAATTTTATTTTCGTTTGCATTTAACCCAGAAGGGAGCCTTTAACTTCGGGGAACTGATGCACAAGTAGGTGCGGACAATGTAAAATATATTTACAGCTTGATAACCAACGGGAAAAGTGGAATCTCAGCAACATGCGTAGTGCTTGAATGTGTTTATACATCGGAAGAATGTCACGTAGAAATTCAAAACGTTCTGAATATAATTATTATAATTGTGATTTTATCATTATTTTATTATTACGGACCCTGGGTCTGTGAAGCAGACAATAATAAACAAAATCCAGATAAGATTCGTACACCACAAATAGGCATTGTACTATATTATTTCATACAAAATCGGTAGTTATTTATGCACAGGCGCGGATACAGGATTTCGTTTAGGGGGGGGGCAATTTTTGTGGGATTTTACCTATCCCCCAGAAATTCGTTCTAAACAAAAAAAATATATAAAATTTTAGCTAGTATACTCTTTTTCACATAACATGGGTGACATTTGGTTGTTTTCCTTACACGTATAGTGTACCTACAGTAGAACCTCGATAATCCTAATAATTGGAAAAAAGGTGTGTTCGGATTAACGATTTGTTCGAATCAGCGATTTTTCCAAAAATCTGAAAGGGAATTGAATAACAGCTTCATACATAACTGAAAACAAATTTCAAGAAATAAACTTAAATTTTATTAAACAAAATTAAAGAATTCTTGAACAACAATGGATAATAATATACATAATTTCTAAAAATATATTACTCCGTGACCATAAACACGTAATTTTTTTGGAATAAACACGACGGGATCTAAACCCTGAATTTTTTCAGAATGTTTAGATGAATTTTTCAAAAAGGAAATTTTCCATTATGTATTCGTATTACCTCCATTATGTAAATTTCGACCCATTCTCGACGATTTTCGAAATTTAACTAAATACGTTTTCTTGTAGATTTTGGGCCTCAGAAGTCACTTTGACTTCATTTCTTCAATAACTTAAACCATTTTTCCAGAATCGTCCAGTTCAAATATCGCAATTTTTAAACATTTCGAAAAATTCGAATTTTAAAGCGAATTTTTCGAAAATATTGCTCCTTTACCATAAACATGCTATATTTCTGGAATCAGCACGTCGGAATATATATCCCTGAATTTTTTCAGAATTTTTAGGAAATTTTCGACGATTTTCGAAACTTAACTAAATATTTTCTCTTATAGATTTCGGGTCTCATTTTTTCGATAACTTCAAGCTTTTTTCCAGAATTAGTTAATTAATTCAGTGCATTGAAATATCGCAATTTTTAAAAATTTCAAAATATTCCATACAACATGTACAGAAAGATCTTGCGTCATTTTTTCAGGTAGGTGGATGTTTTCAAGTTCAGTTCGGATTGCAGAGTTTTTGTTCGGATTAAAGAGGTATCGACTTCAAATAGCCTCGGTTCGGATTACTGGATGTTCAGATAATCGTGAGTTCGGAGTATAGAGATTGTACTGTAATTACAAAATGAAATGCGATTTCAAAATTTTGAAATTGGTCAAAATAAAGTACCTCGATCGTGTGTCAGGGGGGGGGCAATTGCACCCATTGCCCCCCCCCCCCCCTGGATCCGCGCCTGTTTATGCAATATAATGAGTGGACGTCACCAAATTGTTGGCAGGGGTGATTAGCCAAATGTTGATTAGTATTGTACCAGCTACATGAAATTCCAAGTGTACTTATATACAAAATTTATCAACAATCGGTCCAGTAGTTTCGGAGATTACGTGTCTAATAAAAATGGATACAGACACCTGACAGACAGACAGACGGAAAGGGGAAATCACTTTTTTCGTACTTTGGGGGTCATGAAACGTCGAGAAAACATGAAACTGCCAAGTCGCCCAATGGACTCGATTTCTGTAATTCCTCACCTTACACTCGAGAAGTAAAATTTGACACTATACAATTTTTAAATTATGTGTTTTTGGATGTTGATCTGAGGTTTTCCTTTTATTTTCATGTGCGCTTCAAAAAGATTTCGCATATTTTAAGAACCATATCATTTATAACCAAAATTTATCTAAAACAATGGATTTCTTAGATTGCGCTCTAGGGGCAAGGGAAGTTCTGTCTAAATAACTTAAGACTATTTTTTTTCAACGGGTGATTCCATTTTATTAATTAATTAGTTACGTATGTATTATGAATTTTGATTCTCTATAAATTTGGTTGAAACCGCAGCCAACATTGCTGCAGTCCTAAAAGAGGCTAAGATTTCGTTAAAATGACCTAAGTATTTAAACAACACTTTTTTCAATTTCATTTTAATACATCTGATTGTTATAGTTAAGGTTTTGAAATAGTGAATTTGACCAAACGATGCGGAACATTTGTTTGTGAATAACTAATACCATAAGCAAGTGATGCACTAGGTCAATTTGACTATTTAAAAACGAAAATTATCAGGTATTTAGATTATTTTACGAATTTAGATATCTGAAAGTTTCTATGAAATATCTTAAATTGATTTTTATGATTTTTTTACTGAAAGCATCAAACACCCTTAAGTGTGGGCGTTGAGTGTGTATTGGAAAAGGAGCCCTGAGTTCGCCACGGGGCACGTCACTGGTGCCCGACTCCCTTGAATTATTCAACTTTTATGACAGCAGAACCTCATCCATAAAAACTGACTTCGACTTTTCGCACTCGATAACCTAAACACCGACACGAAATGGAATTGGTCCACATGATTTAAGCGTATGCTGAAATTTCGCCCTTACGATATGCAACTAATTTATTTAAATTTGGTTATACGACGATTTTTATGGATTTTTGTTAACAAAGCGTCTGTCGGACATATGCCACTTGTGTATATAGTGACAGTAGGTAAAATCAATTTCACTGGTTTAAAGTTGTATTAAAGTATAGTTGTCTAGTTGTTGAAGTCGCTGTAACAATGTAATTATTAGTATCCGTCAGGTTTCATTAGGTATGCGAAAATTATACAGGGTGGCTCAATAATACGAAATTTTTATCAATATGGAAATGTGATAGAATCTGTATATTTCGTGTTATTGCATTTAGAATATAGCAATTAAAAATAATAATAATAATAAAAAGCGTACTACCATTTAAAAAAAAGTTGTTCCAAAATAAACTATTTCTAGATTTATTTTTGATGTTATAATAGATTTTGCCGGGCCAGTTTGACATGGAACACCCTGTACTTTCAGTTTTAAAAATATGCCACAAATACTAAAACTGGAAAACTTTTTTTAAATATCTATATAATAACGATGCAAGAATCAAAATAAAAAGATTGTTACCTACTTGAAATTGGTAAAGCCGCTTCTGAAACAAAAAAACCTGGTGAAATCATTTACAAAAATCTTCATGCATGTTTTAATGTCATTTTCAAAGCACATAATTAGCTGCTAATAAGTATACACATAAATGCGTATTTCAGTGATTATAACCTGACGTCGGGGTATAATCACAATTGTCCTGCGCCTGCGCCACAGAACTGTGTTGCATAAGCATCTTTGCGTTTCGTTTGTCTAAAATAAATGACAGTTATTTTTTCTGGTTTATTCAGAATATACAACGAGTGGCGTTGTGATAATATCTCATAGATTGTGATCGGTTTAACGATGAACTATTTACACACCTGTTCCAACCACCACAAATTGTTAACAAAATTACATCCTTAATACCTTGTCGTAATTCAATGCCCGCTAATCACATCGTTAATTAAATAATATGCGGGGTTAACATAAATCCATAATTTATAATAGCGTTAGTGACAGCACGTGATGCAAGCTAATAATTGCAATGAGGGTCGAAATATGAATCTTTCATAAACAAATATTTCTAATGTGTGTTAATTGATGAATTTTTTCAACTGTCTTCGTTAATATGTTCCATATTTTTGTGTACATTAAACGGGACAGCCAATTTTGTAAAAAAAAAAGTGTGATTTTGGTAAGTTGAGCAAACAAGGACATACTATAAATGAACGAGTGTCTTTATAAAAATAGAAAAAGCAAAGTTTAATCTGCGATGTAATCTCTTTCTCGAACGTTCCGCTTAGATTAAATGTTTAGCATTTTTGCATTATTAGAAGATTTCATGTCGAGACTCCGGCGGAGTCTGAAGCGAACGCAGCTGAGTAATGCATATAAATTAGTATCAACGAAAAGCAAACTGATTATTTTCTATTGGGCTAGCGGGTATTATGTAGGCTAGCGATTTTAGTGGCGACATTCACTACCACAAGCAGATAAATTAAAAGTCATGGAATATATTAAAGCGAGGGTCAAGCCGATAGCTGAGATACAAATTAAGATATTCTAATTACGCGCGTAACAAGAACCCCGACAAACCCCCGTTTCTGGTCTTCGTTTGCTAGAACGGTCTGTTGACGATCTGATATCCCTTCCTGCTATCGCTAATTCGGAAGATATGCCTTCGTCTAAAAATTATCTAAACACTATTTCACTTTGTCGTTCCAAATAGGCCGAATTTTCGGCTCGCCAGCAATCAGACCGAATTAGGGCATGCCAAGTTCTTTTGGCGCACAACTCAAACCGTGTTATTATTTATCGGGGAAAATAGTAACCTTAAATTGGCCCTAACGAATCCTATTGAATAAACTCCATATGAACAGCTCTGCTCTAATCGATAATGGGGTTCCGATACACCCTATCGCCACCCCGATCTGCGACCTTCATGTTGCAGAACGTTCAAGACTGCCCTTGCTGTTTGGACAAGACTTGCTCCTATGTAAATTTTCGGTGTACTTGATTTGTACTATTACCCCTATTACGTTATTTATTACCGACTGTGTGTGTTCGAGTCAAATGGCCAATTAAGGGGGCTGGACATCGTGTACCCTTATTGTGGAGGTAATTGCAGTGTGTGTTTACTATACTGGTATGTTTATTTTGTCATGCTAATTATGAGCAACTTAAACCTACACAGGTAAGAACACAAAATTGTACATTTTAGTTATTTTGGTATTAATTATAAACGTTAACTAAAATTGGTCTATTCATTTCCTTCGCCAAACTGATGACGTAATCATAAAAAATGTTAAATCTAAAACGTCTTAATTCTGCATTCTTTGTTACCTAGTCGAATGCTCGAACAACTTCTTCGATAAAGATAAATAGTTATTCCTCAGAGATTTTGAATGTTTCTGGTAAAGATCCTTACAGATACGTCAGTTATATTCATTGTAAAATAAATTAAATACGACCTTGTTCGAGGTTTAACGACTGCCAAGCGTCAATCGATGATCCTAGTTTATGGTTTTACAAATAACGAGTGTTGGCTTCTTGAGTTTTACATTGTACATATTACTACTACTCAATAATAAAAAATGCAATAAACATTATACAAAGTAAGTCACTAAGCGCACGTTCTTCGATATCTCATTAAGTAATTAGAAATAGAAAAAAATTAAAAACCAAAGTTGCACGGTTCTTTGAGGACTACATTCTAGAATTATTTTTAACTATACAGAGTGTTCTGTTTTAAGGCGTAACCCACAACTTAGATTTTTTAAACACCCTATATATCTTTACATATATTTTAATTGAAAGGTTATTTTTAAAATCTGTGTTAGAACATTTTGTGGAGAGATAAAGAAAGGTACACCCTTGGTTGTGGTATAAATGAGATTCAATTTTCATATATAGGGTGTTATTAAAATGTTTTAATTATTACGATTTTCAAATATCGATGTTTCAGTTTTTTTAAAGAGAAGAGTACACATATGTTATTAGTGCATCTTATTCTATTTTTTATTCTCTTGCTTTTTTGCCTAGTATTTTCTATATTTAAAGTTGATAGTTTTAATTAAATATAGAGTGTTCCGTTGGAAAAAACTGAAGTCTCGATATTTGAAAATTGCAGTTTTAGAATTTTTTATAAACACCCTGTATATTAAAATTTGATTCAGTTGATACCACAACAAAGCGGGTACTTTTATTTATCCTTCCACAAAATATTGCAAGGCAGACTTTAAAAATAACCCTGTTGCGATTTTTTTTGTGAACTCAAAAAATTTCAAGAAAATTGGAATAACGTGGCAACGTCGCATCGGAATTTCAAAAGTAAACTGTGATTCTAAAGCCTAAGAAAAGGTTAATACATTTTTTTTTTCAGATATTCTCAATTGACATTTGCAACACTAATAAATTACACTTACGGCTGTTATTACAATGAAGTTACTGTGTTTTTTTACTTTTTTGAGAGACACATCGACGTATTAGAAGAATGAGGACAAAAAATACGGTAATTAAATACCGAGTGTTCCGTTTGAAAACACTGAAATATCGATATTTGAAAATTGTAGTTTTAGAATTTTTTCTAAATACTTGGTATATGAAAATCTTGTTTAGGTAATACTGCTACAAAGGGCGTACCTTTATTTATCCTTTCACAAAATATTATAAGGCAGACTTTAAAAATAACCGTGTTGCGAATTTTTTGTGAACCCAAAAAATTTCAAGAAAATTGGAATAACGTGGCAACGTAGCAGTGGAATTTCAAAAGTAAACTGTGGTTGTAAAGCTTAAGAAGAGATTAGTAAATTTTTTTTTCAAATATTGCCAATTGACATTTGCAACTCTAATAAAGTACGCTTAAGGCTGTTACTACAGTGCAGTTACTGTGATTTTTTACTTTTTTGAGAGCTACATCGACGTATTAAAAGAATGAAGACAAAAGAAACAGTAATTAAATACCGAGTGTTCCGTTTGAAAAAAGTGAGATATCGATATTTGAAAATTGTAGTTTTAGATTTTTTTCTGAACACTTTGTATATTAAAATTTGATTTAGTTGTTACCACAACAAAGCGCGTATCTTTGTTTATATTCCACAAAATATTACAATGCAGACTTTAAAAATAACAGTGCTGTGAATTTTTTTGTGAACCCAAAAAATTTCAAGGGAATTGGAATAACGTGGCAACGTCGCATTGGAATTTCAAAAGTAAACTATGGTTGTAAAGCTTAAGAAGAGATTAGTAAATTTTTTTTTCAAATATTGCCAATTGACATTTGCGACTCTAATAAAGTACACTTAAGGCTGTTACTACAATGAAGTTACTGTGATTTTTTACTTTTTTGAGAGCCACATCGACGTATTAGAAGAATGAGGACAAAAAATACAGTAATTAAATACCGAGTGTTCCGTTTGAAAAAACTGAAATATCAATATTTGAAAATTGTAGTTTTAGAAGTTTTTCTAAACACTCGGTATATTAAAATTTTGTTTAGTTGAAACCACAACAAAGCCAGTACATTTATCTATCCTTTCACAAAATATTGCAAGGCAGACTTTAAAAATAAGCCTGTTGCGAATTTTCTTGTGAACCCAAAAAGTTTCAAGGGAATTGGAATAAAGTGGCAACGTCGCATTGGAATTTCAAAAGTAACCTGTAGTTGTAAAACCTAAGAAAAGGTTAATACAATTTTTGTTCAGATATTCCCAATTGATATTTGCAACACTAATAAAATACATTTAAGGCTGTTACTACAATAAAGTTACTGCAATTTTTGACTTTTTTAAGAGCCACATCAACATATTAGAAGACTGAGAACAAAAAATACAGTAATTAAATACAGTGTTCTGTTTGAAAAACTGAAATATCGATTATTAAAAATTCTAGTTTTAGAAACACTTTGTATATGAAAATCTTGTTTAGGTAATACTACAACAAAGGGCGTACCTTTATTTATCCTTTCACAAATCATTATAAGGCAGACTTTAAAAATAACTGTGTTGCGATTTTTTTGTGAACCCAAAAAATTTCAAGAAAATTGGAATAACGTGGCAACGTAGCATCGGGATTTCAAAAGTAAACCGTGGTTGTAAAGCTTAAGAAGAGATTAGTAATTTTTTTTTGCAAATATTGCCAACTGACATTTCCAACTCTAATAAAGTACACTTAAGGCTGGTACTACAATGAAGTTACTGTGATTTTTTACTTTTTTGAAAGCCACATCGACTATTAGAAGAATGAGGACAAAAAAAAACAGTAATTAAATACCGAGTGTTCCGTTTGAAAAAATGAAATATCGATTTTTGAAAATTGTAGTTTAAGAAGTTTTTCTAAACACTCTGTATATTAAAATTTGATTTAGTTGTTACCACAACAAAGCGCGTATCTTTATTTATCCTTCTACAAAATATTGCAAGGGAGACTTTAAAAATAACCCTGCTGCGAATTTTTTTGTGAACCCAAAAAATTTCAAGGGAATTGGAATAACGTGGCAACGTCGCACTGGAATTTCAAAAGTAAACTGTAGTTATAAAACCTAAGAAAAGGTTAATACAATTTTTG